GCTGTGGTGCAGGGTTGTCTCAAAACTAGAAATAACCTTCTCACACAACGTTCAGGTGCTGCAGTGAAGCGCTTGGCCATCAACGCCCCACGCGAACCTACTGCAATTGCTGGTTCTGATTTAGTGAGAGCAATGTTTCACTTCATTCGCTCAACACGGCCTTGCTAGATGAAAGGTGTTTTGCAGTGCGGCGTAAGGAGTGCCGCAGAGTGCAAACCAGATGCTGAGGCTGATAAGGAAACCTTTGCAGAAATGGTGGAAAACGTCCTAACCTTCCCACCGCTCTCCTCAGACCTGTGAGTCGGTGATGTGGCTGTGGGAGCTTACTGATTTCTTCTCGGCAGCGTTCCTCCAGCCGCTTGCACGCAGGGTGGGTCACCCTCCCTCCAGCCCACCCCGTGATGGTGGATGGGGCACGTAGCACTCAAGGGGGAACGGAAAATTACCTCATCGTCACCCTGTTTCCAGAGCAGGGTGGGAAGCCCTCGCTCCCTCCTCGTCTCCCCTCGTGCTTCTCAGCCGCACGACCCACAGTTTGCTGTGTAAATGGTTTCTGGAGCTCGGCAGCGGTTTCGTATTGATCCGCTCTTTCCGTAGCTGCCTGCAGGTCAGTCGGTCTCTGCTGACAGCAAGCAGTTGTTAACCAGAGGAGATGCCAGCCCTACTTCTCTTGATGAAAACCTCTGCTTAATCACAGTTTGTGTTCCTCCTTCGGTTATTAGCTTTTAATTAGGCACCAACCAGCCCTTCCCGTTGGCTAAGGACTTCAGGCACACACTGTGCGTGTCTTCGGGCTCCCACTGTTAGTGCTGAGTTCAGATCACCAAATGACTTTGCATACAGACTCTCATTTTTTCCTGTCTGTATGTCCTTGGCATGTAATGTTCTTCCCAGGGCTGCAAGAAATCATACCGTAGGTATCTTCTGCTTAATCGAGGCTCACTTGTAAAATTTTCCCATGCTGTTGCTCTGGCGAACGCAGGTGCCGCCGAGCAATTTTCTCAATTTTCTCCTGGCACTTTGCTATCACTTTCACCGCCGTTACATCGCAGCAAGCGCAGCTGCTCTCCCTCTCTCCTGGCTTGCAGGGTTTGCTTAGGCCTTCGGTTGCAGCCTTGAACATTGCAGCTCTGCATGGCCTGGCTTGAGCTGTCCATGGCTTACGGGGTGGGGGGCTCCTGATGGCAGGCAGAAACCTGGGACAGAAATGAAAATCCTGATGGAGATGCTGGGGGTGGATAGCTTGCGGGGGCTGAGCTCACGGCGACGCTGGCTTTTCTTGTCTGTAAGTATTTCAGCCTTCTGAGCGAAGTTCACAGGAAAGATGATGATTTTCCCTTACGTTAGCTGAACTTCATGACCCAGGCCAATGCGCTACAGCAGTGTGCAACTTTTGGAAATCCTCCACTCACAAGGTCATATAACTTTGTGCGTTTTATAGATGGCCTGCACATTCACTGGTTGGTGAAGGGTTGGTTCGGGTTTTTTTCTAAGAAAAGAACCTTTCTGTTCACTTGAAAGGTTTTTAATAATTTATCAGTTTAAGGACTAAAATTTGCCAAACAACTTGTTGAGGACTGAACAATGGCTTACAGACATACTTCAAAATCCTTGAGTGAAATACAAAGTAACAACTCTTATTTATTAGTTTCCTTAGTGAAATGTAAGCCTGTGAGCATCCTCCAGAACGACTTGCCTGACCAAATCTCAGTAAGTTGCAGGTTGCAAGAACCTCATATGCCATTTGCTGTAATAGAGAATCCTGAAGCCTACCCAAGACAGTATTCTTCCTTCTCAAGAGCTGACTTGAGAGATAAATGAAAGTCTCCTAGGTGGCCTTCCTTCTGTCCTTCTCCTTTCTTCCTCTTGTCTGAGTAGTCCTTTGTCAGTTGACCAGCCCCATCCGCAGACCTATCAAGCAGGAGTTCTTGGCTGTCTTGGCCAAAGCATCACTGATACTTCGCATATTAAGAGTTTGTTGGAGAAGTCCTCAAGAGACTGAGTATTGGGTTTTATAAATAAAAATAAGAAACAGATGGCACCAGTTTCAAAAGTTAAGTGGTTTTTAACTAGTCCAGTAACTAATCTTCCCATATACCTACAAAAATATTACAGTTTTATCTTTGCAAAGATCAAAAGAACAACTTTGAAGCACTTGCCAGGCACAAGCAGCCATGCATTTTAATAGATGGCAGACCAAATGTACCCTTACAGTAATGGGACTGACTTGCTGATTTCAAATTTCCCCTCGTATTCCTGCAGTGAATAAAGCCTAATGACCGCTCTGGTTGGTTGGTTGGTTTGTTTGTTTTGGTTTGGTTTGTTTTTTTTTTTTTTTAATTACTACTACTGTGGATCCAGTGTTGCTTCAAACATACTGCAGATATTAAGAGAAGTCTGCAAGTCTGAGGTCTTAGAGAGCCTGGTAAAGGAGTGTTTCATGTGAGGAAGAAGTAGAAAGCCTCTGAATCTTTCCAGGTCTCCTCAGGGGGCTATGTCACCATCCACCCTTGTTTAGATCAATCCGCTTATTCATGGGAATCTGTTTTCACTTCCAGAAAGAGACAGGGAGAAGTAAGAGCATAGCATGCCTGACTTAGGTTGGTACAAGCTGGTTCTGTGCTGCAACATGATCTTTCGGACAGGTTGTACATATGACATCTAACGTGATCGAACACATGGGAACTGCAGCACTGCCTAGGAGCAAGCAGAAATGTTGTGTGCCAGCTGCTGCTTCAAATTCAGAAAACTGTCTTTCAGTTGTACAATTTGTTCTGAGGGCAGAAGAGGCCGTTTCTCCCAAGCTGGAATAAACCTTTTGGAGTCCAGACTTTTTTAGAGTTGCAGTTGAGCTAAAGCTTCCTCTTATGTGAGATGCTGACTTTTATTAGTTTGTCTGCAAAACAGCTGCTTCTGCTTTCCACAAACACTGAACACTGGTTCAAAGCCTCTCTCTCTCCTCCGCTCTGTAAGACAACCTCTGTGCTATCAGAGGGGAATGCTGCTGCTTGTGCCATGACTCTCAGCTCCTTTTACCTACTGAAACTTGGCTTCCCAGGACACAGGCTTCTGTTTTGTTTGCCTGGTTTGTTTGTTATGTGCATGTTTGTTTGTTTTTAAGGAGTCTAACCTTTTACTTATCTCGATTGAAAAGCACACGTTTGGCAGCGGAGATGGAAATATAGAGCACAGTCAAGAAACCTCTGGATCTGGTAATGGTACCCTTCCTCTATGTTCCCCATCAAAATGGCCTGGAGTTGAGTTTCCAGAAGGCCCGTGCAAGAAGCTGGAGGTCAATGTCACCTCGAAAAATTGTGCAAAAAGTCTGTGGCAGGGATTTTTTTTCTCTAATTGCATCTTATCCATTAGACCTTAATATGTCTCCTACAATAAAGACAGAAGAAAAGAAGGTCAGCTTTCTTTCGGTAGATAGGTCATCAGCAAGTCACATTTAGTGACATTTGTAATGTGCTTTAGGAATTAGACAATACAACCCTACCTCAGTGACAACCAAGAGAGACTTGGGCAGAATTTGGGATCCTGTTGCTCCTTTAGACATGTAAGTGTTTAGCACTTGGTTCTTGGGTGTCCCATATTCAGCTGGCACCTCATATCTGGAGGCCGTGGGGTTTAGATACCACTAGCTCTGGCTCAGCTTCTGAGGGTGCTCAGGATGTCTGAGCACAGCTGGTGCCAACCATCCTTGCCAGCATCCTGTGGTTAAGCTCTTGCTCATATCTTCTCTGACTACTTTTACTGCAAGGCTTTAATTCAGTTCCTAATCTCCTGACTCCTTCCAAAAAACACATCCAGAAGAGAAGAAAGCAGCACCTCCTTTTATTCTGTGTCTCAGTTGTCGGAGCATTTACAAATGTTTTAGGAGCCCTCAGGTTCCAAAAATTCCCCTCTGCCACAGGACCGGAGCAGTCAGTGGGGTATCTGCCCTGAATTTCTGTATGTATCCTGCTTATTGTAGGAAAAGGAGCAATTGTGAGAGCTTGTCTGGGTGATTTCCCCCTGCCACAGCCTCTCGGGCAGCAGATTGCAGCCTGCCAGGGCCTCTGCGTGCAGGAGTAGTCTTGTCCTGCCGCCCAGCAAACGTGCAGGCCGGATTAAATGAACACACCTGCAGCCACCCAGCTCTTGGCCACTTCCCCACCAGTGGGGACGGGGAGCTGGGGGATCTTGTTGCCTCTGGTTTGTCCCATCTTTTGGCTTTCTGCCCTGCAGGAGGGGAATGAGCAAGAAGGGGAAGATGCAAGCCCCGCTCCAGGCAGACAGCCCTGCAGCACCTCAGTGCCTTCACTATCTGATTTCCTCTTTAAAATGCAGTAGGGGTCCATCTAATTAGAGAGTAAATACACTGTTAAAGGCACAGCTTTATCTACAAAGTTGTTTTTTTTCTGTGCCAAATGTTATAGAGGAAACCGAGGGGCAGAGGGGCAGGAAAACCCCTGGCTGAACTCTGGAGCGGGAAGCGTGAAACTTTAAGGACAAAACAGGACAGAGGAAGCTTCGAGGGACCAGGGTGAGCCTCTCGTCTCCCTGTGCCTTGAGGGCAGCTGGGGTGAGGCCCTTCCTCAGCCTGCCTGTGATTTCCCAACGCTTGCGCAGGCAGACAGGCGTGGCGGTGGTTGTGCAAGGCGGGCAGCGCCCCGCCGGGTGTCCTTCACCCCCAGTGTGCCCCCCGGGGAGGTTTCGCTCCTCTTGGGATGGCAGGATCTGGCCTCTGAGTAAGGCTGATCCTTGGGAAGACAAAGGGAGATCTATTAGTAATCTCCATTTCTGTATTTATTTTTTTGGTATTTCCTGGTTTCAGTGTTGGGCGACATTTACCGAAGACGACCAGCCAAAATAAACCACACGAGTGAAAAAATGCAAATGAAAAAGACAGCTACACAGCAAAGGGCAAAGCCGGTCCCTTGCCCTCAAGTGCTTTAGTCATTTCAGATTTGGTGCTCGCTTGGGTTCTCCTGCAGATAGGCTTATGAGGAACCACCCTGAGACAAACCTGCCCCCGTACGCAGCCACCGGCAGAAAGCTTAGGTAGGTCTGGAAAGACTCTCTAGCAAGAGGAGGGATTAATGTGCCTGCTTGTTAACTTTGGCAGCGCCTGTAGTCGTTGTTGTGCCAGCAGAGTTAAGGAAAGCGAATGGGGAGGGATTGTTTTATGATCGGTGGCGTTCCTGGGGCACGGAGGGGGTTTTCAGGGGACTTTCTAGCAGAAGTAAAAGGCAGAGCAGAGCACAAAGCAGTTCCTTCACAGCTGGGAGGCTGTTTCAGCAGGAGGAGCGGTACAGAGCCCAACCAGATGGAAATACTCCCTCCTCCCTTGTTCCAGTTGCAGACCTGATTTACCCGAAGTGAGTCAATGGTATCAACATTGTCCTGTTACCCGTTGAGATGTACTCACAGTGGTTTTGTCCAGCAAACCAGCTTGTCAACTCCTTGACAAGTTGCCCATGAAAGAAGAGGGGCTGCTCAGCCTGGAGACAGGAATTCTCCACCTGCGGAAACAGGGAACAAGTCAAACTCATTCATAGGCTGTCTTTCATCATGACAAGTTGTGAGGAAAACTTATTTGTAGAAAAAATTAGACCTCTCAACAGTAGGAGAGAAGAGTCCAGCCAGCCTCCACCTTACCCATCCCTCCTCCCATTACTCTCTGCATTTTTGTTAGTGACTTTTGAAAGATACTGTTCAACTGTAAGGCTTTGCAAGCATCAGAGAGGATGCTATCTTATGGAAACGTGGAGGCACCAGAATGACGACCGAGAGAGAGTCCTCTCAACAGAGGGTCATGAATCTCAGTATGCTTTGCTTGGCTTTTGGTCCCAGATGTGAGCTGGGAACAAAGAGTTCAAGGAAACAACCCCACAGAAATAAAGTACTCTGAAGGAGTACAAATTATAAAGGAAATTTGTTAAACCTATTAATCATGGAACATACAGGAAATTAATTTAAAATGATGTCATAAAAATAGCACATGAAAGAAGTGCAAATGTAACATAATATCTATAAATAAAAAAGAACCTTTATACTAACACTTGTGTAAGTTATAAGATGAAAACAAACCAGGTGGCCAGTCTATCGGGTAAGAGTTGTTAAACGTGGGATGCTAAGACCCAACGAAACAAAGATCTTCTTGTGCCCGCAGGTGCAAACCTCGTGGTGGGTTCAGCCTTGGAGGAATATCACCTGAATTGATACAAGGTAAGAGAGTGCACCCAGTTTGATGCTCTTTCCCATAGTAGAACAGATGTAAGGTAGACAATTTTTATTAGCCTGTGGTTACCTCTGAACCAACTTATTCTTGTCCTGTAGTTCCAACTGTTGAGATGCAAATTGGTTGCTTTTACTGCTTTTGTGCTTATGATATTTCCTTTCATTCTTCTTCTTTTGATAATTCTTCTGTCCCAGAGCTGCTAACTACAGAGTAGATTACTTGAAAGCATGAGTTACCATGCATCCTACACTTATTAGAGATCTAGAAAAATATTTTTAGCATTATTACAACCCCCTGTTGCAATCTTTGTGTAAGTTCCCTACTTGCTTTCAATGAAGAGTGGGGGTTTTTTTGTTGTTTTCTGTTACCCTGTGATTGCAATTGCCTATTCTACTGGGGTTTTGGTCTCTGCTGGAGTTCCTAAATCCTGCTAAAAGGTCTACAGGGCTGGCAATGTTTCTGGACCATCACTGTTGGAGCAATGGGACGTTACGAAGAAAGGACTATTCCCTCTCAAGTCTATGTCATTGCTGCCTGGCCCATGTTCTCTTTCTTCAAAGGGATACCATGACCTGGCAGGAACTGCTGGGTTGAAGCAAAACCTGGAGAAAGAAAAGAAAAATACTGCGCATCATCAGCTGTTGATTAAACACAGCGCTCAGGGAGAGCGTGGTTGACTGCGGTGGAGCTCGCTGCAGGCGTCTCCAGACCCTCCTCAACATCTGTGCCTTACATACCATGTCCAGGTAACTTTGTTTGTGTGTTAGAGAGGAATTCAGCTGAAAGCTTGTAAATATGGGTAATTCGCAGTAGTAGAAAGCACCTTGTTTCGGGGGGTGGATCCCCTAGTATGGGGTGTTTGTTTCTGTAGATACTGTGATAAAGACAAAGTCATATTGCAGTACAGGCACAAGAATTACACAGTCCATTCTGAATCTGTCATTACTAAGCTGGTACTGCTACACTCAAGAAAACTTATAGAAGAGCAAGAAATGCAATCTGAGGATAATTTAGGAGGAATGATTAAAATAGCTGAGTGTGTACTTGAAAACCAGCTTGGGATGTCTGTTTTCAATCATGGTCAAGTCTGGAAAGTCAGAGAGTGGTCATATATTGGAAATATCTAATTATTTGAAGATGTTTTGGTAGCTCTGTCAGATTCAACACACACTTTTCAAATACTTAGTGACATAGTTTTATGATCAGGATTTTCATTTTTAGTAAAAATGATTTTTTTCATGATTGTTTACAACTCTGCTGTATTCAAGCTTCTAAAAAGTTGGTTTTAAAAAATTATACAAATGCAAACAAACACAATAGAAGTAATCCCTGCAAAAAACTCACAAACCATGTAATTCTTCTGCTGATGAAAAACTTGGAAATAGCTCATTAGAGTTTTCCTATTTCTTTTTTTTTTTTAAATATGGAGCTTTTATAGGAGATATATCAAGAAATGTACCTGCACTGAAGAAAGACCTTCTGAGGTCTTAAATAACTGGAAATAAAGATTTGGAATGACTGATTTTCTCTTTCTGAAATGCAGTGTCATGTCTGAAATATTTCATGGCATCAGGTACAGAGGGAGGCAGCAGTTGAATGCAAAGCCTGAACTACCTGTGCAAAATATACCCTGGCATTGTCTTTTTTGGAACAAATACAAAAATTTTGATATTTTTATGGCATATGATAATGATCTGATTCATTTCCTGCTAAGATTCTTGCCCAACCGTTAAACACAATTTAAACACAATTTTCTTTTCTTTTTTTTTTTTTTTTTTTTTTTTTTGGTATAACAAGCAGTTAAATATGTATCTCTGCATCCCAGCGCAATGTTTTCCATCTCTGTACAGGAAACAAACTGTAGCTGGTTCTGCAATGACTTGGTCCCATTCCCAGGAATGTTTCCCTTCCATTTACAAAAAAAAAAAAAAAAAAAAATAGAGAGAGGAAAAAAAAAAAAGAAAAAAGAAAGCACTTTTTCAGTGTATTAATGTCAGATAGACCTAGGCACAAGACGTGTGTCCATGCACTCCTCTTAATGAGGAAAGACAAGGTTTGCTGGACTTTTTCTGCACTGAAGTGCACCGGCACACAAGTCCCTTTGCCCAGCCTCTTTCAAAGGAGCTCTTCCCTGGAGCTGAGCGAAGCTGGTTTTCCTCCTTGCGGGAAATTCCAGTGCCAGCATGTTAAACCCTAACTTCCTCACAACAGCCTGCCAGTGACGGCTTGCACCCGGTGGGCTGTGACAGGGTATTTTCTCTCCCGGTGAGCTGAAAGGAAGCAGAAGCCATCCAACATCGAGTGTAAGAGACCCCATTCCTCTCTCTCCCCATCCCCTTGGTAATGCAGCTTGTCCCTTTTAGGGACCGTGAGGACCCCAACCCTGGGGTAGCTACGGTGGCCCCGCTGGCTGAGGACATGGTGGGGGGACGATGTCGTTCTGCACAGGGAGGTTTGGTGCCTCCTGGGAGGCCAGAGTCGAGGGTGGTTGAGGGTCTGTCTGGAAACCTGCAACATCCCTGTTTTGAAATAGGCACGACACCTCATTTTCACTGGAAATGTATTTTATGTCTCCAGATACCTCTCTGGGCAGCCCATAACAGAGGACCTCTGTCATATTGTTTGGGATACAGCAAAAGAAGCTGATCAACACAACAAGAGTGTGATATATGTAGAGATAGGGAAAAAAAAGTCCTTCAAAATGCTAAGGAAGAGGTACTTCAGAAAGCTACGGAGGTATTTCCTGAAGGTATCTCAAAAACTGAAGCAGTAGCTTCGTACATTGATACTGTTGAGCCAATCAACAGTATGAAAATCGCAGAAAATATATTAAAAGAAAAGGTGATTTCCAGATTATGTCTGTTTCAGGGGATGGATCCTCAGCAGCAGCAAGCTGGGAGCCTGTTTGCCCAGGTGATGAGAGGTATGTTTGGCCTGATCTCTAAGGTTCTGGTACCGTGATGTTCGTGTTTCAGGTTCCCGAGTCCTACAGCCTGTTTAGAGATGCCTGTGGAGATCCAGGGTTATGAATATGGGAAATGCAAGGGCTGATACTGCTAGGCTAGCCCGTAAGAAAAATCAAGATCAGGGCTGCTATGAGCAGCCTTTTTATGGGTCTTGGGTACCTGCCTCCTTGTTTGGTTCCCATCCCTGCATCTTCTCTGGGAGCTAGACCCCTTCCGCAGGGATGCAGGAAGCCCTGAGCGGCACTCGGAGGCAGTTATACTTAACCAGATGTATTTCCAGACAGGCCTCTCCCCCATCCATGCCAAGGGAGTGTCCTTAGTTGGTGGTGTCGGTTTAGGTCTTGCCTCCCTCCCTGCAGCACGCCAGGAAGCCCAGCGGCAGGCACGCTCGTGCGCGGGCGCCTCTGATCATCCCGCCGTGTGCCCGGCGCCTGTGTGCGGCTGAGCTACCCGTCAGCGTGCTTGGCTGGTGTCCTGCCCCACGCAGGGCCAGGGAGCAAGCGACAACCCATGGCTGGGGGGTCGGGGGGGGGACCCCCGTTCTGCGGGAGTTGTCTCAGAGGTCTTATTTTGGAGTGACAAATTGGTGCGGTGCTGATAACAGGGGTTTGGGTGCTTGTCGTAGCGGCCTTCAGAACAGGGTGCCAAAACTTGCTTACTGATTTATAGATGCGTATTAATGGAAAATCATACTGTTCCTGTCAGAAACAAATTGTTTTTACCCCCCACTGGAGAAAGTGCAAAGGAAGAAAGGGACTGCGTTGTCCAGCTTTTTGTTTCGCATACAGGTTGTTTTCTGTTGAGGCCGTTTCCTTGGGAGTCAGATGCTCAACAGGACTATTTTGGGAGAAATTAGTGTTTTTCTCCTGTTGAGTCATGCTGATGCAACTGTTTTAGAAAGTTAAAACTTTCCATATTATTAAAATAAGCTTTGATGTCTTAGTCTGCAAACTTCCCTGCTATGTCCTCCTCTGTTAAGGCAGCAAATCAGCATCATGTTATTCTGACTGAATGCTTTCAGAAAGGATGTGATAAAAAAAATACCCACAACCCTGCTTCCTCAGCAGAGGTAGTCCCAAAGGCTGGCTGTTGAATGAGTAACCATTTACAGAGCATTATCACGCTCTGCCAGAACGACACGGTGAGGATAGCCGGGGAGAAAAATGAAGGGAATCTGCTTCTTTACATTTAAACTTTCAGTCTGAAGATCTAACCAGAGGATTGAGCTGCTGGCAGAGCAGCCCTGATATGGAACACGACAAGGTTAAAATTGTTTATTTCTCATTATAATGTTCCTTTTTGTTGTAGTTTGAAGACGAATACCCGAAGCCCTGCAAGTCAGATTAAAGCATAGGCACCAGCAGTGCATGCCAAGGCTCCGCTTCCAGGATCATGAAAGGATGCCAAGCCATTCTGCTTTCAATTACACGAGTATTATACCTCCTGCTCCAAAGGCTGCAAGTGTAGATTCGACGGCTTTTCTTCGCCAGCCATTTCTAGGGGGGGGTTAGGAGAAGAGTGCCCCGGGCTCAGCCTGGCTGGCACCGCTGTGGCCAAGCTGACGTGCTGATGCATCCTGGTTACCAGGGGTAAGTACCGGGAAGCAGTTTTGCTCAGCTTGCAAAGATTTGGAAAGCGTTTCTGCTCATATTGCAGACTGGCCAATGGATTCATGAGCTCCCTCCCTCTTCTACTGCTTCTGCTTTCTCTCTGAGGCAGGGGTCTGGGTCAGGGTGTTGCCCAAGTTGGGCTCCTTCCGCACTGCTCACTTGTCCTTTCTCAGCAGAAAAGCAAAAAACAGCTCTGAGTGTGGATGCTGACATACAGGAAGAAAGAGAGGAAGGGAAGGGCCGGGCTGCAGGATCCTCTCATGTGGAACTGGGAAGGGGAAGTGCTTAAAAAGTGCAACATGCCCAGAAACTGGAGGTGATGGAGGAGTTGGTACCTCTGGCTGGCAGAGGGGAGAGGGCTGCTGGGCTCTAGCAACTGGAGCCTGATGCTAAAGCCACATTCCCCTGAGTAACACAACACAGATGCAGAAAGAGGAGGCAGTGGGGCTATAACAGTGAAATAACCCCTGTAACTCTGATGGCAGACTGACTGAGGACTTAGTGTTGCCACTTGATTCGTGGTTTTTGAATAGCAAGTCCATTACTACGGGGTTCCGTTCCACATAAACATATTTCTGTTTCTACATCTATTTTGGTCAAGACCCATCTAATACAGCCCCCCCCCCCCCCCATGGCTGGTCACTGCCCTGTCTGGCAGCAGCAGTTTGCTGGTGGAGGAGGGCTGTGGCAGGAGCCTGTCCCTCTGCCAGCACAAGCGATGCAGGGACCAGGGGCTGAGCCGTGGCAGGCAGGGATGCTGAGCGGGCAGTGGCTGGGGGTCAGGGAAGACTTGACTGAGGGAAATGTGTGCTTCTTGTGCTGCTGTCAGATGAACAGGAACATTTACAGCAAGAGAACTTAAAAAATGACGGTCACAGCTCTCTCTGAGCCCTATCTATCTGCTGGCAAAGGCTTGTCTGGTGTCTCTGCTTGGAACATCTGCAGTTACAAAAGCACAGGCTTGTTGCAGATCTGTGCCCTTCTGCTGAGAAAAGGTAATGTACTGGCATGGGTGGAGGCACGTGCCTTTCTTTAAACACTGTAAGAGAGGTAGGAAAACCATAGCTTAAATTTGGGGGAGGAGACAAAGCACCCACAAGGTGCAACTTTGTTCAGCGCTAAACATGTGGTTAGTCTGGAGAAAAAGTAGAAGAATGGTATTCTCACCTTAAAAGACATCGGCTTTCTCCTACTTTAGACTCTTCTATTTCAAAAGAAGTTGTTCTGAGTTCAGGCTGAAGCTCAGTTTGGAGGCTGATGCTCTGGGAGGCAGCTGGCTGGTACCTTGCCTTTGTGTGTGGGGCAGCTTGTGGAGGGCATTGCTGACTACCTGGAGCATCCTTGGACTTTCCTGACTCCAAATAACCTGAGAAATCCTGACAAATTGACCTGAAATAAGAGAGAGAGAAGTCATGATGCATGTAGACATTTTTTCCTACTGATGGAAACAAGCAGAAGGCCCACCCCCCCCAACCCCCTCCCCGATTTCTTGTTTTTTTAAGCAGCTTGCTGAAATTAACTGCTTGATTTGTGAATGGCAGCATGGGAAGGTGGTCAGGGCCACTCCGGTCTTCTCTTTCTGAGAGAAACCAGAAACCCATCCTGGTTTAGAAGCGTGATGAGAGTGGGCTGAGCCTGGATGTTAGGAGGAAGTCTGTACTTCTGAAAAAATAGCTGGCGTCTACCTCAAATCTCCACAAATGCATGGTGGTGAAGCTGTAAGAGATAGAAAAGCATGCCCATTTCACATTCAGTGAAGTACGTGGCCCCGTACGTGGTCTTCTCCAAAGCTCCTCACAAATCTAACTATATTTAACTTTATCAAGGAGTTGCAGTTTTGATGACAAAAACATAGAAGAATGAGTTGCATCAAACTCAGAATTGACATTTTTTAACATTCTGAAAACTAAAAGTCTTTCCTGTTGAAGAACGAGAACCATTCCAGCTGAGAGCTACTGGAGGGAAGAGGTAACTTTGAGGAAGTTGATGACATCCCTTTGCTAAAAGACCATTTCCCGTCTCTGCTGTGTCCCACGGCTGCTTTGTCTCTATTTTAAAATGTTGTTATGCTTATCATCTATCCTTTGCAGCAGACAGAAAACACAAGGTTATCTCAGTCTTTCAATTAATTTCTTTGGAAAGCGTCAAGTTCATAACCTAATGTGCAGTGATAATTCCAACACAGTGGGACTGAAATTTGCTTATGAGGCACATTTGGGCTTCTGCCTGGGCTTTGCCACCCTTGAGCACATAGATGCTACCATGGACCCTCTGACACATGGCGGGTGTCAGGAATCAGTCTGTCTGTCTGCACTAAGGCAGGTACTTCTCGGTCCATGCAAGCTGGCAGCAGATCATGACAATTTCTGTGCACAGAAAAAAAAAAAGTGGAAACAGCAGTAGGAATTTTTGGTGTTTGAATTTAATGGGTTTCCCTTTCAGAGCTGGTAGGAAGGCTCCCTAACGCTTTATGTATCCATCACGCGTGGCCATTTGACCAGCCATATGTTTCCATTCAGTCAGGCTAAAATAAATACCACCAAACTTATCCTCTCAAAATTTCCCTGGATGTTTACAGAGAGATACTTTCTTCCAAATTGTGTCTTCTTTTTCAGACAAAATAACATTCCCATTCTTAGGCATTTTCTATTTGTTGATAACATATGACTGCAGTGTCCTAGGAAACTAAATAATAATGAGCGTTTCCCTAGTGTTCTCTTTGACTAAACAATTTGACTCCAGCATTGGTATCAATATAATATGTATGTATATATCAATCTATATGTTGATAACATTTTATAGAACCTACACAACAAAATAACTTGGCTGTGCTGAGATGTTCTGTTGCTCAGTGTGCTGGTCTTGTCTGCGGTAGAATTAATTTTCTTCACAGCAGCTAGTATGGAGCTATGCTTTGGATTTGTGCTGGAAACAGTGTTGATAATACAGAGATGTTTTTGTTGCTGCTGATCAGGGCTTACAGAGGGTCAGGGACTTTTCTGCTCCTTACCCCACCCCACCAGCGAGTGGGCTGGGGGGGCACAAGGAGTTGGGAGAGGGCACAGCCAGGACAGCCGACCCCAACTGACCCCAGGGATATCCCACACCATATGATGTCATGCTCAGCAGTATAAAGCTGGAGGAAGAAGAAGGAAGGGGGGGAACATTCCGAGTAATGGCATTTATCTCCCCAAGTAACTGTTATGCATGATGGAGCCCGGCTTTCCTGGAGGTGGCTGAGCACCCGCCTGCTGAGGGGAAGGGGTGGATGAATTCCGTGCTTTGCTTTGCACATGTGCACAGCTTTTGCTTTACCTATTAAACTGTCTTTATCTCCACCCACGAGTTTTCTTTTACCCTTCTGATTCTCTCCTCCAACCCACAGGGGGGAGCAAGCGAGTGGCTGTGTGGGGCTTAGTTGCTGTCTGAGGTTAAACCACAACAGTCCATTTTGGACCCCAGCATGGGGCCTGAAGGATTTGAGATAACAATGGATTTGATTGGAATGTGCAAGATCAAATTTATAGCTGTTATTGCTGTTTAGCTTTTTATTGACAGTCTCCTGTGGTTGCCATGGGGCTTGCTTGACTTATTGCAAATTAGAGTCTTGTGCTCGTTAGTGGCTGCTTTTTGCTTTTGCTGCTTGCTGTAGTGCTTATCGTTTTACACTGCTGTGCCTGGAAACCTGTTGATAGAAGCAGTGGTGATGCTCCTGGGCTGGCAGAGGGCCAGGGCATCACTGCTGTTCTTGTGCTGCTGCACTGGACAGGCTGGAACTCCAGTGCAAACTTGAGTCAAAGGGACTGTGGATGAGTCCATGTGGGAGCAGGACACCCCAAAGTGTCTGCAGCCATGAATAAGTCCACACCAGAGCAGGTACATCTCAAAGCATCGGTGGCTGTGGTTATGTCCGTGCCACAGCAGGTATACCTCTGAAGGGAGTAGTTAACATCACTGCAATGCAAGACCAAAGAGTAAGTATCAAAAGCAGAGATACAGGGAGGGAAATGCAATTCTGGCTTGAAACTACTTCTGCACTTAATGCTGGAGGAAGTGATTGTGAAAGAATGACTTGCGCAAAATGGTTGCATCAGCCTTTCCACTGATGGGTGATGAATGACAAAAGGAGAGAGATCTGCCACTGAATTTCAGCTTGCGAAGAAGAGAGTCCAAACACGATCTGTGATCTTTTTTGTCCCCAGTCAGCAGCAGCAGTAGAAGTGGTTGGAATGTGAGTTTGAAGGGCAGTCGTGTGCTGGAAAACGCCAAACTCTTCAGAATCCATAGTTTCCTTAGGGGAGCAGCCACTAAAGAAAAATCATGCAAACTGGTATGCTTCACTGGCTTAGCAGTTAGAGGACGTTGAGAAACTGTCGGCATAGAGTTTTGTTTGAGGAGCATGGGCTGAAATATTTTCTCACTCCAGGACTGTTGTCACACCAGACCTGCCAAAGGATCTCCAGCTTTTGTTGTACTTGCAGGTATGAGATGACTACTTGGGTCCCAGAGTACATGATCAGCACATGGGGAGACTGAAACACAGCATGCAGTACACAAGGTAAGTATCTACTCTCTGCATATTCAGGATTCGGGGATACTGTTTGTCTGCAGTACGAGAGCTGTTTACAGCAGCTTTTGTGAGCTTTTGTAAGTGACTTATTTTCTGCTGTAGCCAATGGTTCTTTGGCACCTGTGGCAGGAAACACAGCCCTTCTGTAAATTAAAATCAGTATTGATCTAGTTACATCCACTGTTTATAGGGTGACAGTAACATGCAATTCCCATCTATTACCAGTGTCGATTACAGAAACGGGCGATAGACTTGTTTGGTTGCCTATCGGCTTGTTCTGCCTTTCCAGTAAAGAATGTAAATTGCTTACACGGTGTGTAAAAGGGTGTGCCAGGAGCCACACAGTGCTGCTTTTTAGAAGCCCTAAGGCTGGTGAGACTCAATGCAGGAGACCCCAATATCTCTTCCAGGAAGGTTTGTGGTGTCAGAAGCCACAGTCCACTCGAAGGGGCAAGAGGGTGGACATGCTCTGTTTGGGCTTCTGACTCATGGATAGCCATACTAGATGGGCAGACTAATGCTGCAAAGGCTGTGAGCATTTAGAATCATAGAATCATTTAGGTTGGAAAAGACCCTTAAGATCATTGAGTCCAACTGTTAACCTAACACTTCCAAGTTCACCACTTAACCATGTTCCTAAGTGCCACCTCTACATGTCTTTTAAACATCTCCAGGGATGGTGACTCAATCACTTCCCTGGGAAGCCTGTTCCAGTGCCTGACAACCCTTTCAGTGAAGAATTTTTTCCTAATATGCAATCTAAACATCCCCTGGCACAACTTGAGGACATTTCCTCCCATCCTATCACTTGTTACTTGGGACAAGAGGCAGATATCCACCTCTCTACAATCTTCTTTCAGGTAGTTGTAAAGAGCGATAAGGTGTCCCCTGAGCCTCCTTTTCTCCAGACTAAACAACCCCAGTTCCCTCAGATTATCCTCATAAGACTTGTTCTCTAGAACCTCACCAGCTTCGTTGCCCTTCATTGGCCGCAGTCCAGCACCTCAATGTCTTTCCTGTAATGAGAGGTCCAAATCTGAGGACGGTATTGGAGTTGTGGCCTCAGCAGTGCTATGTACAGGGGTATGATCACTTCCCTAGTCCTGCTGGCCACACTGTTTCTGATACAAACCAGGATGCTCTTGGCCTTCTTGGCCACCTGGGCACACTGACGGCTCATATTCAGATGGCTGTTGATCAACATGCCCAGGTCCTTTTCTGCTGGGCAGGTTTCCAGTCACTCTTCCCCAAGCCTGTAGCGTTGCATGGGGTTGTTATGACCAAAGTGCAGGACCCAGCACTTAACCTTCTTCAATCTAATATAATTTGCCTCAGCCAATCAATCCAGCCTGTCCAGAAACCTCTGTAGAGCCTTTCTACCTTCAAGCAGATGAGCACTCCTGCCCAACTTGGTGTCATCTGCAAACTTACTGAGGGTACACTCGATCCTCTTATCCAGATCGCTGATGATCTAATCATCTTCCCCTGTTTAAGGATGAAACATCCAGCCGTAGCTTCATTGCTGAGAGGAGGCATAATGCAAAAGATGTAAGAGACAAGAACCATAGCCAACATGTGTATGAAAAGGCAGTCGACTGAGAATGGTCATTTATGACACTTGAGACATGATAAGGCTGTACTCCAGAAATGAGTAGCATACCATGTTTGCAGGGCTGAGTAGCTGAACTAGGAAAGGAAGACTGAAGTCACAGGATAACTCTTACAAGAAAAAAAAATTACTCTGAACTTCCTCATAAAATTGCACAGGCTTTAAATTGTTTTCACTTGCTGTTCAAAATTGAAAGTCGATACTACCTTCTCTCTTTTTTGTTTCCTACAGCAAAATGTTCAGCCAAACAAAATACAAATCAAGAACTACACACACCTGGCAAGTGTGGGCCGTCTACATGGTCTTAGCTGCAAACCTCTCTGAAGAGCAAGCACTGAAGCAGGCTTGTCCTTCATGCGATGACACTCAGATTTGCAACTGCTCCTCCATGGGCTTGGACTTCATTCCCCCAGGACTCACAGACAAAATCACAACGTTAAACGTGGCCCACAACAGGATAAAACACATCCGATCCCAGGATCTGCAGCAGGCTGTGAACCTGAGAGCCCTGCTGCTGCAGTCCAACGAAATCAGCTTGATAGACGAGGACTCATTTTGCTCCCTTGGGAAACTGGAGCTCTTGGACTTATCAAATAACAGCTTGGCTCGCTTGTCCCCTGCGTGGTTTGAGCACCTTTTTTCACTCCAGCACCTCCACCTTCAAGGGAACTCCTACAGAGACCTGGGGGAAAGCCCTCCCTTTTCTAGCCTGAGGAACCTCAGCTCTCTCCACCTGGGCAACCCGTGGTTCTCCACGATAAGGCAAGGGAACTTTGAGGGCATTGAGCTTCTCGAGAAGTTGTGGATCGATGGGAGCAGACTCAGCCAGTATGAGCCGGGAAGTTTGAAATCAATTAAGAAGATAAATCACATGATCGTAAACATAAAAAGTATTAATGTGTTCTCAGCAATTGTCAGGGACCTTCTGCACTCTGTCACTTGGTTGGAAGTGAGAGAAATGGCATTCAGGATACCTGCTGAAATGCAGCTACTGCGAGTCATGTCGTCTTCTTTTGCTAAGAAAATTTCTTTTAAACAGACCTTATTAACAGATGCTACTGTGCCTGAGACTGTAAGTATTTTAGGAGACATGCCGAAATTAGTGGAGTTGGAGATGATAGACTGTGAACTCTTGGGAACTGGACAATGGGAAACACAAGTTAAAGCAAACCAGTCACAGACTCTTAGAGTTCTGACAATAGAGAAATTATCTATAGACAAATTTTATTTGTTTACAGATCTTCATGCTGTAGTTGGTCTACTATCTGTTCTTACCAGAGTCACAGTTGAAAACACCAAGGTCTTTTTGGTACCATGCAGCATTTCACAACATCTTCTGTCACTTGAGTATCTTGACCTTAGCGCGAATTTGCTCGGAGACCAGAGTTTGGAGCATTCAGCCTGCGTGGGTAGTTGGCCCGCACTCCAAACTCTAAATTTAAGCCAGAATTCACTGAGCGACTTAGAAATGACAGGTAAAAGTTTGTCTCATCTAAGAAACCTAATTGTCTTAGACATTAGCCAGAATATCTTTGGCGATATTCCAGATGTCTGTGAATGGCCTAAAACTCTGAAATATTTAAACCTCTCCAGCACTCAGATTCCCAAACTAACAACTTGCATTCCCCGGACGCTGGAAGTTTTGGACGTTAGCGCTAACAACCTGAAGGAGTTTGGACTGCAACTCCCCTCTCTCAAGGAGCTGTACCTCGCAAAAAACCGGTTGAGGACCTTGCCCGGTGCCGCACCCATTCCTAACTTAGTGTCCCTGTCCGTCCGACGGAACAAGCTCAACAGTTTCTCCAGGGAAGAGTTTGAGTCCTTCAAGAAGATGGAGCTGCTGGATGCCAGCGACAACAACTTCATCTGCTCCTGTGAATTCCTGTCCTTCATCCGGCACCAGGCCGGGATGGCCCAGGTGCTGGTGGGGTGGCCAGACAAGTACGTCTGTGACTCTCCGCTGGCAGTGAGAGGGGCACAGGTTGGAGCCGTGCAGCTCTCCCTGATGGAGTGCCACAGGTCCCTCATGGTGTCCTTGCTGTGCGCCCTGGTGTTCCTGGTCATGCTCATTCTGGTGGCCGTTGGCTACAAGTACCACGTGGTCTGGTACCTGAGAATGACGTGGGCATGGCTCCAAGCCAAGCGGAAGCCCAAGCGAGCCCCCCCGAAGGACGTCTGCTATGACGCTTTTGTCTCCTACAGCGAGCACGACTCTGACTGGGTGGAAAACACAATGGTGCGGGAGCTGGAGCAGGCCTGCCCCCCCTTTCGGCTCTGCCTCCATAAGCGGGACTTTGTGCCCGGGAAGTGGATCGTGGACAACATCATCGACTCCATAGAGAAGAGCCGCAAGACGCTCTTTGTGCTGTCCGAGCACTTTGTGCAGAGCGAGTGGTGCAAATACGAGCTGGACTTCTCGCACTTCCGCCTCTTCGACGAGAACAACGATGCAGCGATTCTCGTCCTCCTGGAGCCCATCCAGAGCAAAGCGATTCCCAAGAGGTTCTGCAAGCTGCGGAGGATCATGAACACAAAGACCTACCTGGAGTGGCCGCTTGAAGAAGAGCAGCAGCAGATGTTTTGGTTTAATTTGAAAATAGCGCTAAAATCCTAAATGGGGACATTAAAGAATTAATATGTAGCAAATGTACTCTGGATTTGTTTCCCGTGCCTGTTCATCTGTCACCTGTCTGTATCTTGAGGTAGAGAGCTGATCTTCTGTAAATTCTATTACTTGCTGTGGGATTATTTTCCTTCTGTAGCCGTGGTCAGGAATTGTTGTGCTTGTTCAGGCTGAAATAGAGTTTATTTTTGTCATAGTTATTCCTATGGTGCTGTGGTTTGGATTTGTGACCAAAACAGAGTTGGTTACACAGAGATGTTTTAGGTATGGCTGAACAGTGCTTGCACAGCATCAAGGCCTTTTCTGTTTCTTACACTGTCCTGCCAGTGGGTAGGCGGGGGTGCATGATAACTTGGGAGGGGAGACAAGCTGGGACAGCTGATCTCAGCTGACTAAAGGGATTTCCCATGACATATAATGTCATGCTTGGCAAAAAAATTTATGGGAAAGAAATAGGAAGGGAGGATGTTTGGAATTATGGCGTTTGTCTTCCCAAGTGACTGTTATGTGTTACAGTGGCCCTACTTTCCTGGAGATGGCTAAGCATCTGCCTGCTGTTGGGAAGTTGTGAAGGAATTCTTTATTTTGTTTTGCTTACATGCAGCTTTTGCTTTACCTACTGGACTGTCTTTATCTCAACCCACGAGTTTTTGCACTGTTACCCTTCCAATTCTCTCCCCCCTCCAACTGCTGGGGGAGTGATGCAAGGCTGTGCGGTGCTGAGCTACCTTCTGGTGTTAAACCACAGCAATTGTCTACACACGTTAATCAGCAGCGTTAGCAAAAGTTTAATTTAAATATTTAATGATGAAAAAGTTGTTTAGATATGCAGTCATGTTGTTTGTTTATCTTTATTTTTGCAAAAGCTTTAGGAGAGAGCCTGCTAGCCAAGCGTTCTTCTGTACTCTCTGTATACATATTTGGTTCATTTGAAGTCTCATCACACAGCTAGTTACGTGTTGTGTTACTGCATTTAGGAAGTTCTTGTCCACACAGCCAATGTGTCAGTGAAGGCAGAAGTCCCTCTCTCCTTTGCTAACCATTGAGAAGGCTGAAGACAAACATTCTTCCATTATACCCACAATTAGGTAACTCTGACAGTGTAACACAAATGAACGATTTATTAATGTGCATTTTTACATATATGCATACAGGCATAACGCATTATAAGAATTATTAACTTTGCTACTTCATCTAAGAAAACAAAGCCACTTTCTTTCTATGTACTTGATTTGCTCTTTCTTTCATTTGCTTAATGTTTTTGTAATTGCATCATTTCCTTTTTTTAGCATCTAAACCTTACCTCCATTGGTAGATGGCCTCACGCAATCTCTGTTTCATTCTCACATATATACATTAAAGTATAAATTAAGATAATCTGTATTTCTGACTTCTAATACCAAAGATTCTTAAAATACTGACCATATTTAATCTGAGTTTAAAAGCTGCTTCAGCTAGGCTAATTACATTTTAAGATCAGCTTCTCTGATTCCTAAACAGAGCTGTCTGTTCTTGCATAGACACGCTGCATTTCAATTCCTCACAGTGTGGCCAGGGTAGTATAGATGTCAAACATTTGGTCACTAATTTGGCAGCAAGACTTATGCATCCATTTTGATCTAGGTTTTCTGTTTTGTTTTGTTTTGTTTTTAAAAAGCAATAGTGACATATGGAATTGGTGGTGAGGGACTGTAACTTTGTTCTGTGTTTGAGAAGCTGGTTATTGGAAGTTGGGCCTGTTGAGCATGGTGGTCAAAGAGGACTTAATATAGGATCTCCCCATATAGGCCTGTCTGACTACCAAGCACAGCATAAATGTTGCCATGGTTAGAGCTTTTTGTAAATGGCCATTGGAAGATGTATGAGTTACAATACAACATCTCTTGAAAGAGGTGAGAGAAAAAAAGCTAACGGTAATCTTGTATTACTTTACATTAGCCAAATGAACAATCTATCTGGGTGACATTTTTCAGAATTTGCTATATACAAAGCCATTATTTGACTTAAAATCCTCCTTATCTACTGCATAATTTTCTGTAGTCAGAATTTTAACTGGAAACTACTACCAATATATTTAATGATGAAACAAACTTAAAATGTTTGTTTCTGTTCCTTTTTTTTTTTTTTTTTTTTTCCTAGGGGATATTCATTCTAAGAAATAAGGCCTTTTTTTTTTTTTCCTAACACAACCTTCACATTAATGGCAGCAATTTATTTTAATTCTTACTCTGAGAAAATAAAAAAACTATTTAATAGCATGCTGCACAGTCTTGCTGTAATGCAAAAAGAAGCACTATCCTGCAAAAGGGTATATAGCACACCAGAGTTCAACTGCTCTTTTCTCTAGTCTTTTAAAATTAAGTACAGAATATGCATATTATTGTAGACAGGTAATATCCAACACTTTGCATTCTCACTAATAATCTGAGTGCTATTCTAGACCCAGTGAGTAACTAATGCCTTGGGCGATGCCTATAACAACCAGTTGCCAAACCACCAGATAGCAGAGACAGTCCAAAAGTTGTCCATACAGTACGTGTGCTCCCACCTAATCTGTTTTTAAGGAAACTGGAGAGAAAATGCAATAATAGGCAAATCTTGGTGTTTTTCTTAGCCAGAATCAAAGAAAAAGTATTGGGCTAAAATTTCGAAATGCCTTCTTTTCAACTCTTCTGATTTACTTCCTTTTTTATAGGGTTAAGGTTAAAATTAAATATCCTCCCCACATGTGGTTAAAATAGACTTCAAAAAAGTAAGCCAAACTTTGCTTCCACTCAAGAAGGTTTCTACAGATGCAGCAGCAGATCTACGACTATTATTTAATTTGTTAAAGGAAAAATGTTATTTACTAACTACTAAGAGAGGAGGGGAAAACCAGCACTTGTTCTGAAAGCGGATTATATCAATTTTGTTATTTCATTAAAGAAAAAAATCTACTGCATGGTCTTTCTAAAACTGTGATTTACATTCTTTAAAATGTTCCTTTCATTATAAAAATTATTTCCAGATGTCTTAAAATCAAGAACGAAAATATTTACGCACTTTTCTTTTCCAAGCTTGTTTGGGGTCTTAGATAAGATAAAGCCAAACAGAACTATCATCTTCCCTAAATATAATTGTTCCTTAATAATAATTGGTTTTCCATTTATTTAATGTGGCCATCTCATCCCTCCACTGCAGATCAAAACAAGAATTAGTAAGTAATCAAGCTAGGATTTAGAAAATCCAAATCAAAAGCACACTTGTTAGGGAGAGGGTATGGGTTACTTAACATCCTCTTCAAATCAACTTTCTCAAGGCACTACAGGCAAGTCTGGTTCTTGCCAACAGTGCACCAACCACGGATGTAGGATTCATGAAACATGGTATCAGGTGTATCATTAAGGAATCTTTCAAATATAAACAAAGCCCAGTGCTTACATCTGCAAACCTAGTCAAACCATCAACAGATAATTTCAATGACTGATTATGGATACTGCCTTTTTTATAACCGAGTAGTTTCAAATGACTTAAAATATTTAGAATGTTTAGAATTATTTTAAAGTTGAATCCAATGTCCTGAACATCCAGACTGGTGTTCATATTTTTCCAGCTTGCAAGAAGCCAGGATACTTTTAAGAATTGCAGAAGGGGGTGATTAGTAACATTGTTCCAGCACATGTGTGATACCTATTGTTTTAGTTTGTGGAATGCAAAATACCGAGTTGTTTTGTAGCCCCAGGTGTGAGACACTGGGTCTTCTGGCAGGCCATAGGGCATATATGTGCCATCTTTTGAGAAGGGTTCCACATCTGCCTTAAAACTATGCAGAAAATACATCCCCAGGCACAGCCGGAGGAAATCCTCTGCACTACACAGGACCCTGAGTTAGCAGACCTGAGCAATGGGTCAGCAAGCCTGGTCTAACATGCTGCCAGGCACACTCACACAGGCTGTGCACAAAGTACATGGAAGGTGGATTTAGACCTGAAAAGTTATGGCCATTCTTGCATCAGTTTGTCTGTCAAAAAGCTGCGTGGCCTCAACTTGTTTCACAGAACTGAAATATATTTTATGCTCCTATTTTTACTTTTGTGTGTGCTATGTTGTTTCTGAATGTGGTTTTGGTTCCTTTTTTTTTTTTTTTTTTTTTCCTTGGTATTTATTGCCATTGTTATTATGTTTTAATACAGCATAAAAGAGGAGAAAACAACAGTTCCATAATTCCATGGAAAGGATACACATGATTATAGGACAGCTGGTAGGTATTTTCAATGATCCTTTCCTCATTTATATCCACAAAAATTTTCTGCTCACAGACTGCACAGATGTCATTGGACATTTCTTGTTGGTATGCCACTGATGTTGTAAAACTGTCAAGATCAAGTTTATAGGAAAAAAAAAGAAGCCAAAGAACAATGAAATATTTGCTTAGAGTCAAGGATGCATAAACTCATTTTAACTACCATCAAAGATAAGGACATCACAGAAATGGCTACAGTTGTCTTAGTTTACTAGTGCCAGGATGCACAGTTACCAAGAAATAATTAAAATCTTATTGCTGATGCAAGAACTTTAGCAACCGTATGCTTGATTTTAAGTAACTTGGACATAAGAGAATTTTGCTGAGATAATCACCTTATTTGGAAATGGAAGATAAGAGCTATAAAAAGAAAGGGCAAGAAGAGTCTTTCACAGATTTGGGGGGAAGTAAGAAGCTTGTCTTCCTATGACAATTAGGAAAATTATATAGTCTCTTGCACACAGAGACCCACCTGTTGGAAACCCCAAATCAGGCCCTGGCATATGCCACTAGCTACTAATTCATTAAGACTATTTTTATAATTTTTCTAAGATTGACAAGGGAGTTCAACATTTTATCCATGGCAGAAGAACAGCTCTCCTCAAGGAAACGTGAGTTTAGTCTATTGCAAGAGTATCCAGTAGAACTTGTGAACTCAGGAGCACAAAATATTCAAGAACTCACTTCCAGCCCTGGCAAGTGGTATTCAGGATGATGATCCCTGGCACTTACACTAGAGGTGGAAGCTGTGTAGTCAGAACAAATCTCTGCAAATTCTTGTCCCATTACTCCATAGTACAGTCTGTAAAAAAGCAGTGTCACAGCAAAATCCATGACATCATCAGACTCGATTCTGTCATAAAACCACAAAAGAGTACTCGGGTGAGTCTGTTCTTCACCAAATCACCAGAATAAAATATTAACAAGATTTTTATAGTTAGCTCCTGCTTCCTTAAAACTGCAAATTTAGTTTCATTTTCTTTCGCAGCAGCAGAAAACACTCAAAGTATCGATGTGCTTGACAGCAAGCAATGTTGAAAGTAGGCTATGAACTGCTTTTGGAGCCACAGCTATTCAGCTCTGTTATAGGAAGGCCAAGCTGGCACATTTTCTTATAGAAAAGGGCTTTGCCTAGAATCTTATTATACAGAACAATTCGATATATTGCACTGTTTTACAGAAGCAATAAGATCAGCTGAATCTCGATAAGGTGTAAGATGCCAGTCAAAGAAATGTTAAGTTTCTGTAGCTGAAAGAGCCCACTGTCCTCCTGAATACAAATTCCTCAGAATAAAATCTTTGTTCTATTGCAGCAAGTGGTATTTAATCCCCTACCCCCCCCAAAACCCCAACTCAATAGAGTCTGCAAAAATGTTAACATTTCTTGTCATCTCTCTGAGATTATATGTGTTAGAGATCTTGAGCGACTGAAATCTGGCTCCCAAATACTCATAAAACTGGAGTTTCTCAACGTTAAAAAGGACATGTCATTGCTGCAACAGGGCTCAAAGCAAGAACCTTTAAAATAGAGATAACAAATTTTTTAGTTATGTCTTTAAAATACAATGGTGGGGTAATTTAGCTGGTTAAATAAAATACCTCAAGAGAATACAGCTTAACAGTATTGGTAACACAAGACTTGGTATTGTAACACAAGTTTCCATCAGGAATTTTCCATCAAAGCTATGTACTTTTGGTTTAATCAACTATACGATGTATGGGCAATAAATCTGACATTTAAAGGAACAGCTGATTTATGTATGTGCATTATCTCCGATACCTCCAAGAAGAGTTGGACTTAAAGCAGGATCATTATGTAGTTGATCTACATGGTCTTGAGGAATCCCTGGAATTTCTCATCAGATGTCACCTCAGAGTTCAGCACAGTAGCCCTGACTGTGCTGCTAGTCAGAGAGAAATTCTGGACAAACATAAAGACTATTCAAATTCTAGCTGTATTAAGAGTTAGGTCTAGAATCATCTGGATTTACGGTATTGTCTTTGGAAATAGTCAAAATAAAAAGAAGAGAACCCTCTAGCAATATTATAGCCTGGTAGAGCAGAAATCATAATTATCAGGAAGATTTATAATGTGTTTTTGATATGAACGTCCTTGTCTATTTTTATCCTTTACATCAAACCTTTTTATGTATTATCTCCTTCAGATACATGAATGAAAGATTGAGGATTAACTCAGCAGTTAAATTAGGGGATTAAATGAATGAACACAGTGACTGTATGAAGTTTAAGGTTCTTCCCCTCCCCTTCAGACCACAAACACATGTTGTGAAATGACTACATATCAAACCTCAGACCAACTATGCAATAATAAAAATCAAGAAGTAAGAGAACATACAACTACACAGCATAAAAGGGGTTTCATATGTTGAGGTGGATGATGAAAAGACCAGCCTGGAGCCATTTCACTGCAAACAAAGTAAAATATATCAAACAGGAAATCATAACAGTTGCCAGTCCCAATTTCACCTGAAGATACCTACCTAAAGAATAAATTAAATCCAAACATGGTAAACATTATGGCTAGATAACCCACAATTCCAATTACATAACTCAGTTTATAGATCAGGAGGAACCATTTGTAGACCAAGAGAAAAGAAAGACTGCTCAAGACTTTGCATGTTTTACAGTGGCACAAAATGCCACATATGTAGCTTCTACTGGAGTATTCATATAAATTCAATAAAAGTTTTACATTTCTGTAGTTCTCCCTTACTTAAAGGTGAATAAAAATGTATCATACAGGAAAAAGTACAGGAGAAGAAAACCCCACCAAACCCTTTTTGTTTTGCTTCAGTCTTCACAAGAAATGGTAATTGTGAATAGATTGCTAACATAATTAAGACTAACAGTTGAGCATTGTGAAGGAAGGAGACATAAACCAGGACAAGAACAGGTGAAAAACCAACTGAAGTAAGTTAGATATAGTCAAGTCAGTATTCCACCAATGAAATGTATCTAAGATGTTTAAAAGTTAGCAGAAGCAATCTCTGAACTATTAATGACTCTCTTTGCAAACCCAGGGTGAAAAGATGGAGTTTCAGAAGACTGGAGTAGGAAGAATATAGACCTCTCTTTAGGGAGGCAGAGGGGACTCTAAGAAATAATTTCAGACTATTTGGTATATGTACCAAATTCAGGCTCAATAACACCTGGGATGACTGCCGATGGTAAGAGACTGCAGAATGAAAAACCAAGATGGAACCAATGGAATTAATTTAATTATAACTCTTGATTGATTCTTTTTCATTGGCATGTCATGTTTGACCAACATTGGTTTAGAGGAACTTATTCATACCTCAGTCAGAAGATTCCTTCAAATTCAACTGCTAACGGCCCTTTCTGTAATCTGGGAAGATTTGTTCCATAGGAATCCTTATTTTTAATTCTCCTACAGGTTTCCTTTAAGAAACAATACCAAAAAAACCCAGAACAAGGCAAAACCAATAAAAAAGGACATAATGTGGTGTTCTTCCCAAGAGAGACTTGCGGATTGCTCTGAAATTGATGTAATAACTGAGAGCATTCCCCACATGGACAGGTGTCTCTACCAGTAAACTCTGATGGTGAAATAAAGAGGAGCAACCTGCATCTGCATCGGTGTGACTAACTATTGTCAAAATTGAGACAGTAATTTCAAAGTAATGACATCTTATGGGTCCATTTTGCATGGTAGGGTTTGATTAACAGGTTGCCAAACTGTAAAACTCGTACCAAAAAGTGTGACTTGTACACTATCTGACACAGGAGGGCCGTTGACCCTAGAATAATGATGTTAGTCTTGGTTGAACCCTGTAAATAATTAGTAGTCCCAATGGAGTAAATGGTTATAACACTCAGATACGACTCATCAGACCCCCACATCCTATCCTCAAAAAACTAAACTGTCTATTGATAGAATTTATGCTACTGAAATAAATGTCAGTTTGTTTTATAACTCAAATTATATATGGTGTCTACAGGGCTAAGCCTTTGAGAGCAAGTTTGCTGAAATAAGTGAAGGCAGTTTGGCCTTAAAGCCTTTGAGCTGCCTTTACAAACTTTTGGAAAGGCACATTTGGCTGCATTAATTTGGGATGCCACTCAGTTACATAACCACACTACTGAAGGATTTTCTTAAAAACTCTTTCTAAAGCACACCAAAATTCTGTGGTTTAAACTTCTAAACCTTTTTTCTAAATGAAATCATATAAAATCTAATATGTATATTTGCTTGAATTGCCCACAGTGATGAAATATTCTACTTCTTTTCCAATAAGCAAATATTTGAAACCCGCTGGAGTCAAAAGCCCTGTAATGTCAGATCTCTCAGTGATCACATTAATAAACTGTGGATTTGGGATTGTGGAAGCCTGATGATGACAAAGATAAAGCAAGACTGACTTTAATATATGTTTGTAGAGTTAGCTCCTGCATCTTTACAGAAAGGTTACTAAAAATAATAATAAAAAAAAAAACTCTGAGGAGAGAGGGTTTTCAAATTTATGTTTGGTTTAGGGAGGGTAGATTTTTTAGAATCAAACTAAACGCACAATCCATCTAGAGTAAAAACTATTTCTACGGAAGATGAATCTCCTTGCTTAACCCAAAAAGTAGAATTCTGAATGAATGTGTGTTACTCTCTATGAAACCTAACACAGGTTTGCCACAGGTTTCAGCTGAAGCAGAACTGGTTTCTTCTCCCATGAAAAAAGGAGGAACTCTTAAAAATATCCCCCTAGACCACAGAAAACATGCAACTATTGAGCAAACTGGTATTTCACAATGTAAGTTTAAATAAATTAACAGATGGAAACACCTGTTAAAGATAACGACGCAGCATCATTAGATCACATCACTGTTATGCATTTCTCCACCCTGCAGCCCTGGCTTTATGGGACCACAGTCTGCTGCTTGTGGCTATAAAAGTGACAGGGCTCCTTCCATGCCATGCAGCCCTTCTGGAGTGCCATGCAGGTCAGTGGTCCCTCCACATCCCTGCTCGTGGAGCCTGAGGTCTCCTGGCCCGTCACCAGAGGCCATCAAAGGCTCCCTGGTGCCTGCCTGACTTGCTACTGTCCAACATGATCCCTCTCCAATGTGCTTACATGCTGTGGGTTGCTTTTTTTTCCCATAGACGGAAAGTAAAATCTGAATTTAAGCGGCAAAGCCAAAACTGAACAGGCACACATCTTTGGTAAAGTAGCTACTTTCTAATACAAGTCTATAGCAGAACTTTGTTAGCATGTTAGCTGCAAAATGAAATGCTAATTAATTTAAAAAATGGTACCACAACCTTCTCTCGGGTGATGCTGTTATCAGATCAGCTGGTATATACTGTTTGAAGTAATTGTTTCAAATTTCCTTGTTGATTTTGATGTCTTCCAGATTGTTAATTTTAATACTATTAGCCTCTACATGAAATTCATGAGTATTTTGTCATGTAAATGAGGACAAAGATAGGAATCGAGTCATACAGATGAAAACACCAATATTGATGTATTATTAATACTGGAAGGTCACCATCTGGACAAGTCCATAAAATAATACATCTGCATTGCTGCTAAATGGGAGCTTTAACATCTGGATCATATTATTCCAAATTTTCCTCATCCACCCATCATAGCAAGAGGAATTTCCTGACAAATCAGATTGCTGCCCAAAGGTAAAATGTTTTTCTCATTACCGTACTCTAAATGAGCTCAAAAAGACCTAGAAGTGAAGTCAGCATCAGCGTCATAGACAACTTTCCCATTTTCTAATTATGCAGATTAAATAGGTCATACAAGCACCAACTGAAAAAGGTCCATCTGCCCTCTGCTTCCCTCACAGCGCTCCCCCAACTCTGAGTGAGTAAGAATGCCTATCACCAGCAAATTCAACAGAAGAGCATTATTCTACTATCCTTTCCATCTTATAGGATATGGTGAAAACTGCATACATAAAGAAAATAACTGTGTAATAATTAGATTTATTGTGAGAGACTGACCCTACCAGAACTTGTTAACTCGGCAATGCAAGCTAACTGGCTCTCTAAAACTCTAGTTTCTTTTGATGTAGACATATTCAAATACTCAAAAACATATGCATGGAAGAAATAATAAATCAGCTGTTCGGGTTTTTAAAGTTTTAAACTATTATGCTTATACTTGATAGTACATTGGAAATTGGCAGGGACTTCTATAGTAAGTAAATCAACCAACCTTATTTTCAAGACTTGCCTCATTACTTAGGTATAGAAATCAGTGCTGTCATGACTATGCTGCTTTGTTTTTCAACTATATTCCAAAGTAAGTTCTCATTACATGACTGCCATATGATACAAGATATATAATCAGTAAAATGGGCAACCACCTACAGGACCAGAAGTAAGGTTTTTGTGTTTGAGATTGTTCTGAGACCATGACAAATCTGCCTTTCTATCTCAGATATTTTGAGATTTTTATTATGCCAGGGGAGAACAACTTTGTTTGTATATATCATGTATATTTAATTTTCATTAATGGACAGCTTCCAACAGCAAACAAATTTCATTACAAGAATCAGCTGAATACCTGATAGTCAGAATTTCCTTTGGGAAAATACAGTCAGAACACAAATAAGCTTTTTCCTTCCTTCTCCATTTGATATGCTACGTTCTTGCCTTTATGTTGAGAAAAATGGATAGGAGAAGATAGGATAGGCATGTTCTTTCAAGGATGGTAATTCTCTGACTAGCATTCTTCTTTGCCACCCCACATCACAGAGAACATAATACAGTTGGAAGCACATAATTGCCTGCACCTCACTGATTTGAAGGAGTGCAAAATTTGTGAGTGAAATGCAGAAACATAGATGCAAACCTATTTAAAAATTAGGGTTTTATCGTGTGAAATAGCAGAACACAGGCTTGATATTTATTTTTTTTAAATATCAAATAACAAAATTATCAGAAGTAACTGAGAAACAATCATTTTCTCTAATCTGCTTCCTCATCATATGGAAGTTAACCCCAAACAGTCAACTAACATCTAGAAGAAAAAGCACAAATTGTCAAAGTGCCCCCACCTCTGTGCTAGAATCACATACCCATGTTACTTTATATGGAGCCATCTGGTGAAGGGTAATCTCTTTGCTTTTGCCAAAATCATCCACAGCTGAGCCTTGGTTGCTTTGCTGCAACTTTTTTTGCTCTTGACTCTTTGAAATAGGAGCCTTCACCAGCATGACTTTTTTTGTTGTTGTTGTTGTTCCAGGAGACATTTTACATTCTTGATAAGCCTGGATAAGGCTCTTTTGGAAGGTACAGGCTGTTGCTGTTTCTCTTGCATCTAATAAGTAGTTGCTGCTTTTTATTTTTTGTTCTTTTTGAGCAAGCTAATGAATGCCCTTTCCATTTAGGGCTGGTTTTATGCTCCCTTTGACCTTTATTTTCGTTTTCTTTCAAAAAGAAAACAAACTTTTTTTTTCACATGTTTAAAAAGCACTTTGAAGGGGAGGGTGGAAGTCATTCCCTGCAATCCTTTGCGTTATTTCTATTAACAGGACTGTGTAATTCTCTCTGAGCTCTTACCATGTCTGAGAATAGTGTAAGTATCCAGAGCAGGGATACATACACATGATATATGCAGACAAACACCCACCATGATGTCAGAGAATCAGACAGGTTTGTCAGCTGGTGCTGCCTTCCAAGCCATGATATGCAATGAAGGGCTAGCTACTTGTTTTGTTGATCTTTTGGGACAGAAGATAGGAAAGAAAGCAGTTTTTGATCAGAAAAAATGAGACTTAGGTCTATCCCTCCTCATTGAAAATAATGTGTTCTACCTCTTTGTCTGACTTTTCCTTCTCTTTTGCTCCTGAAAATGCAAGCATGTTGTTACAAGCATGGGAAAGTCTTTGGTTTCTTCACTTCAGTTTTAGACACTGTTGTGCATAACCTGTATGTGAACTATACAGGCATAAACCAAGCAGTCAAAAGCTGGATGGCAAATAAGGGAAATGTGTAAGTGAGCAAAAGTAGAGGGCTGTTTTCTCTTTAGTAAGCATGTGATTGTTTTTCAAATTTTGACTTATTTAAACGTTTCCTACCAAATCAAACAAAAATGATACGCACATGAATGCAAGTATAATAACTGCCACCTGGAAGAACTGTAATGCAGAAGTCTAGACCTGCCTGTACTTAGGGGAGCAGTAGTGGGTTTTTTGTTGTTTATTTTTGTGTCAAATGGACAATTTCCTGTATGCATTAACTAAATTGTTTAAATCCTAAATGCAACCATCTTTACAGTTTCTGCTCCTAAATCAGAAGGTTTCCTTATCTGATGCAACAACATATACTAGTTATTTTTCATCTATCTTGTGTAAGGATCTCATTAATCATTCGACTTTGTATCTTAATGTTTGTCCTGTTTGTTAGCCTTCAAAGTAGAGCGGATCAGATTTTGGCAGTTACTATACTGGTAGAAATTTGTAACTTTAACATTGTTGCATAACATGCATTTAAAGAAAGCAAGCTAATGCAATTAGATCAAGTGTGATTGAAAACTATACAAAAGTATCTGGATATGGAACGAGGGCAGTTATGACTTAGTACACAAACTTGTAAGTTGTTTTGGTGACACTCTTAAGTTACTTAACGTGGCATAAATGCAATAAACCATCTACTAGCAGAGACCCACTGTAAGTAGTGTTCACTATTATAAAGTATCTTCATACATAGATGGTAGGGTGTGAGAACATATTACTCTCCCCACTAAACAGAGCATGAAGTGGAACTGCCAAAACTCAGTGCAAAGTGAACTTCAGCTTTTGGTGATACTATTTTTAGTGATAAAAGCTCTGCTTCAGTTCCTCTTTTACTGGAGAAGGAGGCCTTGCTGCTGCCACAGAACTATGCACTGAAAATTGAGGCCCCAACATGTTTCTGGTGCAGATGTTTTATTTATTTTAAAATGTTCTACAAAAACACAAAACCCATTGCAAAGTCTTATTGAAGTGTTGTGATGGTTGTAGTTGTATTGGAGCCTCCCTAAATGAGACTAAATGCACTTAAAAGTGTATTTTTTTTTTCATATTGGCTATGTCACTTTGTAGGTGTGACTGACTCCTGTAAACTAATGGTTGGGAATCAAGCTTTAGTTGCTGAAGACTAAGTTATCCAAGTAATAAAGCGTGTAGACTGTTGTCAGTTTTGACAGAGGTTAAGTCTATGTAGTACACATTAACTAACTTTAAGTATTGCTAAGAAGGATAACGCCAAAGAAACACAGAGTGCATGCTTTTTGGACTCTTGGAGGCCTGCCCAGGCAGACAGGGGCCTTCCCAGCTGCCCATCGTTGTATGCATACTTAGAGTTCAAGTGTGTTTCGATACTGATTCAATACCAGTCTCTTGCAAAATATTTACAATGGAAAACAAAGACATGCACAGTTCGAGTGACCTCAGACACTTCAGTGTTTTGTTCTTTATTCTAAGTGGCTGTTGAAATCAGCAAGGCAAAAATCGATAGCAAAGAAATGATGGAAAAGCTCGGGCCTTAGATGCTAACATGAACATAAAATAATTGAATCATAAAGCAGAACTGATCTAGAAGATAAAGAGAACATAATGGTAAAGTAGGATTGTATATGATTATTTTATATATGCTCAGGGTTAGGAGTGTGTATTTGTAAAGGTAGAGAGCTAGTGACATGGAACTAAAATCCTCATTGAGGTGTGCTGCCTGTGGCTTCATTAGACAATTCACCTGTATGTATGTTGCTATGATGAACATTTCATCACTGTTCCTAACTCTAAAATATTGCTGAGCTGAGCCTGTTTCACAATCTCTGTATTGCAATTTTATGCCACTGTGAAACTCCACTAACAGTAAAGCTGTCATAGATCAGGCTGGGTTTATATCCTGTACTAAAAGAGTTTCTGTAAATTATACCAAGGTTTCATTCTTTAGTGTTTAACAGACTTGTCAAATCAGGGGGTAGGATGTTTCAGAGTCTGAGGAGCAACTGCCAAGAGGAAAAAGTGTTGGTCATGACAGTTATTGTTGTCACTGCTATTAAGAAGTTTGATTACAAAAAACTGGATTTCAGTCTACAGACAGCTTAGGGCACTCTTCAGCTGATGAAGGTGGAAAAGCTAAGCAGCTGCTTGTGTGCTTGAAATTCTGTCTGTCTGAAGTATCTATGTAATCCCCATTATTTGCTTAACATTTACTTAAAACTCACATTACTTTTTAGGACTGACCCTTTCTGGGATGCCTAAATTTTTTTTGAACTATTGAATAGTGAGCTCAAGGGTGGAAATCATGTCACTAGGGTTTTCTTAGGTTTGCAGAGAAGTCTGTGGTAGGGGAAAGGAAGTGAGCTGAAGCACCATAAGCCCCAGTTTTAGCACCTTAACCACAAGACAAGCTTTCCCTCTAGTTAGGCATGTGCATGAGTAACTTGATTAATAGGAGTCTTGGATTCTCTCAGTAAACATTCTGTAGCATTACTTCAGCTAGGTAAGGGTAGTGACTTTGTTCTCCTACCATTATTAGACAGTTGTATGAAAACTCAATGTGTTTTCCTTAAAAGACTTAACCTGCTAAAGACTGACCTCGGCAGCAGTACACATATACAGAAAATAAAACACAAGTTGGGTTTTTTTTTCCTACATAAAAGCTATTCTCCACCTGACCAAAAGCCATGGGTTGCTGCTTTCCATGAGGCTCAGCTCTCTTGCTAGAGTATGTCATGACTCCCAACTGTGACCTGAGAAAGATGATGTCCACTACAGCTCCAAAACTTCTGTCTTTCTAGCAAGCTAATCATAGGATACAGTCAACAATGTCTTTGCTTCTACTGAACAAGCACAATCTGAGCAACAACCAAGGCTGCAATGAGAACAAGAACCATCTCCATATGTATTGATTCACAGCCATGATTCTTCTCATGCATCTTCTGATGTTGCAACCTGAAAAGAAAATAGACATGCTATTTAAAAAAAAAAGAAGTTTGGGCTGATTTCTTATACCTAAAGGTAACAATAAGACTCTGTATGAGAGATACTTTATGAGGAAATAGGTTAGTGTTGTTATGAACAAAGATATAAGGTAACAAAATAGATGAGATACTTGGTCTTTGTAACGGGAACTGTATCCTGAAAAAGGAAATGTAAAGTAATAGACAAAGAGTTGTCTTTTTTTTTTTTTTTCTTGTAACTCAGTCCTAAACATAAAAATAGCCAAAAATACACAGTGCCTATGAATTTTAAGCAGACGTTTCATAATCACAGATCTGAGCTCCACATAATCTTTTAGTCCAAGGTAAATGCAAACTCAGATTAGGGCTTAAACCCCTGTTTCAGCTTCCTTCCCTATAAAGTGAGAAGTGCAGCTGGTATTTATCTTCCTTCTAGAGTTAATGAAAATTTCCTTCAGCCCCTAAGAAAAGAGGGGATTGTCTTGGAGCTATAAATCAACCTTCTTCGTAACTGAGGCTGAGTGACCTTCTGTGTTAGATCGGAGCCTCGTGCCCCTGTAGTAAGAGCCTTGATCTTCCTTTGAGCTTGACTCAAATTAACCTGGATGTTACTTTTCCTCTGACCTGGAGTTTTGCGGGCCCACGTTTCAGGACTCAACAGCTCCTCCTGGCTTCTAGATCTGTGTATGCACTGAGAGCATCCCAACGGTACCCCGAGATGAAGCTGCAGGGACAGGCAGGTACCATCTCCCTTCCCCTTCCATCACCTGGTGCCTGTGGGGGGAAACACTGGGCGCACGGGCTGGAACCAGCGTGTTCTGGTTGACGCCTGACCTGGATGATTTGTGGATCAAGACTCTGTGTTATGGGGGCTGGTGGGCAGCGGCTACTCTTTGCAGACACAGTCGGTGCTAAACCAGTTGGGATCCAGATTTGAGTGAGGAACTACGCCAAAGCCTGAAGCCATTATTTGCTGCTATTATTTACTATTCCACGTTAGAAAAACTTTGAATCCAATTAAAACTTTTTCGCAGAAATCTGGATGTAGGTTTAAAAGATGTGGTTCTTTCCCATCCCTTCTTCAGAAGCAAAAGTGCAACAGTAGCCGTGGTTTTTTTTCCATTTAAAAAGAAATGGCTCTGATGAATGCTGTGCTCAGATGCCACAGCACCCAACCGGGTACTGATACCAGTGTCAAATGTCTTTCTTCCCACCTTTGTGCAAGTACCACGGAGCACCACATCTTTGCTGGCAGTGTGCTTGCGTTAAGTATCTTGAAGCAGCCCATCGGTGTGATGCACCCAGTGTCCCCCAGGCCGCAATCAGGGGTGTCCCCTTACAGGCAGGCGTTGGCACTGGGTGCACTGGTGGGGCAAACACATAGCTGGAAATAGTATAATTAATGTGCATCCTAAGAAAAGGGAAGGCAGCAACAGGGAGATAACAAGCTTTTCCTTTCCACTCCCTCCTCAATCAGGCATTAATACTACACCATTTCTTTATATTAGACTTGCAAGGACAGGAAGTGTTATATTTATTGTACCTAAAGGAAAACATTGTACTACAACAGCAGTCTCCGTAATGATCCCTGTAAAGCTGTTCCTGATTTTGTTTTGCTGAGGAACAGATTGAACTGACAGAATAAAAAGTTCCAGTAAAACTTTTCTTGAAAAGAAAATTCTTTAGTAACTACACTTCTGTGAACAAAATGTTAAAGGTTTCTGGTATCGCTATAAATGTACAATTCATTTAACAAAACATTTGCAAGCAATATGTAAATTAACTAACTTCCATTGTTCCTCTGTTGATAATAAATCATTTTCCTGAAGCACATTCAAAACAAATATTATAACTTCACAGTGAACAACAGCCAGATGGATTTTCTTCTTTTAACCCTCATCACTCCTTCCGTTCTTTGAGTTGCTGGACGTGTTGGCAAGTTCCCTCTGCCCCTCTGGCCTAGAAACCTGCAACTGCGTCCAGGATGGCAGTCACGCAATTTCAGTGGGTGCAGCTAATGAATTCCCTTGGGGTGACTGACCAACGAGGATGATGGCCTACTTGAGAGACCTACAGTTATACCATAACTTCAGTCAAAGCAGACCTTGGCACTTATCTGTGCCAGCCTCCGATGCAAAAGAGAGTGAAGGACATCAGGTTGCTCAGGGCTGAGTCTAGCCAAATTATTAATGTCACCATGGGTGGATATTTCACTGCCCTTCTGGGCCTCCTGTGGCACTGAATTCTCTTTTTCTTCTTCAATACATGGGGATAAAATCACTGTAACAAAGTTAGCAAGCTGAGGTTTAAATAAAATGTCTCCTAGACTTTATCAAAAAGGTCTAGGTCTGATCTTTCAGCTACTCTAATTAGGCAGCTCTACAGGCACAGCATAAAGCCTGTGGCATAGCTCACACAAATAAAGGTTGAAAAGTGGAATTTGTGACTATTCAATGAAGTCTAAGGGTAGTACTTCTCGTTCCAATCTGGATTCTATCAAAAAAGATCATTATTAAAGATGGTGTTTAGTTCTTGATTTTCCTCCAAAATCATCCAATTCTATAAATAAGTTTTTAAATTTTCTATAAAAATTCCAAAATTCAAGGGGATAAATTTTTCTGATTTATATGAATGTTTGCTGTTTTTCAGTTGAAATGTCCATGTTTGGTGGTGGTGCTCGTTCTTGTTAATATAAGTTCAAGTGTCAAGGTGCCCCTTTATGTCAGTTTTTGCCATGTACACCTCAGCCCTGTGGGTGATGTGTCCTTGCATTTTGCTCTGAGTACTGAGGGATATGCTACAGTTTTACCATCTGCCTTAAGTAACTGTGTGGCACTTTGTACTTGTCTAAGGGAGAAAAAGGGAATGCAAGTCATCATTCACTTGTAGAAAGATATACACTTCTAGAAGAATATAAGTACCAAAAGATACAGCTGCACCTAGCAGATACCTCAAGCCCATCTACGAGACCAGGTGCCACTCTGCTTCCTCAGCTCCCTTTGCTGTTCCTGTCAGGAAAAAGTATGAGGCAAGTGGCTCTTGATCTCTCATCTTTGGATGTTATGAGGATCGTATTGAGGAAATAAGGAAAAAGAAAAGAAAAAAGTCTTCACTAGACTTTTGTGGAGTCAAATAAAGATGTTGACAGTCTAGCCTTAGTCAGCAAATACTGTAAAACAGAGACTTGCTTTTGTAGTTCATATGTGTGCTAATGTTTCTTTGCAGAAGTACTGGACTACACATTTGCCAACTCTAATCTCATTAGAGCTGAATTAAATTGCAAGAATTACATTATATAGCTCAAAGCAGAGATGCATTTCAATTGACACTGCATTATTTATTTGTTTACCAGTTAGCAAATAACAGAGAACTTGCAAATTCTGACAGTGCATTTGTATCTCACTAATTGAACCTGATTTCTGTTGTTACTAAGCAATAAAACTGGAAATACACTTGGGACATTTTAGATCCCAATTTTCTCAACATGGCACATGGCAACATTTTGACTCTAGCAAGCCAGGGACTAATTAAGAGGAAGGTTACTGGGCCTTAAAAAATAACATGATTTTTATTCCAAAGACAGCAGACCATTTGATAGTATTTCATCATATTCTATCAGTATACTTCCTTCCAACTTATTAAAGTGAAGAACTTGTACAAAATGCTGATTTTTTTTTTTCTGTTATTTTTATTTCCCTCTCCCAACATGTACTGATAATGACACTTTTTCTTCAATTATCAGCTTATCTGTGACAGAATTTGGATATGGCAGTGGTTAAAAAATGGAAACAAAATTACAGTCCATGCAGTGTTTTTAACTTAATTTTGGATAATGCACGGCCAAACAAATGCTTGCATCTTCAGGGTTCCATTTTTAACCTCCAGTTGACCTCCTCCTCCCCTATGATAGGCAGCAATGGCTCGGTGGTGAGGGCTGCCCTGTACTACGTGGGTGTGCTGCGTGAGGCAAAGACCAGAGCATCAGGTGAAGGCTTGTCATAGCAAGGCAGCTAGGATGGGTTTTGTCTGCAGGGTGAACGTTGTGGTTTAAGCCTACTCAGCAGCTAAACGCCACACAGCCGCTCACCCACCCTTCCCCCACTTGGGAATGGGGAGGGGATCGGAGGGGCAAAGGGAGACTGGCGGGTTGAGATACAAACAGTTTAATAATAGTAACAGAATAATACACTGACAGCAATATCAGCAGGTAATGTATAATACAGCTGCTCACCACCCGACACCGCCTGCTCCCGGCCAGCGATCCCAAACACAAAGGCCCCACAGCCACACTCCCCACACGTGAGAGCCCCTCCTGGCCCGCTCCTGCCTTTATATAGTGAGCACAAGGTCACATGACATGGGATATCGGCCAATCGGGGCCCAGCCCTCCAGCTGTGCTCCCCCCGCCCCCGCACACAGGTGAGGGCACTGGGCCCTGGGGAGCCCCTGGGGTCTCAGGGGGCTGCAGCTCCTCCCGCTGCCAAACCAACGGGAGCTCTAGGCCAGCCCCGACCAGGACAGTGAAGAACTGGACGGAAGAGGTTAAGGAAAGTACCACAAGATGCTGCTACTTGGGTCCTGCAGTTTGTGGTGCAGGGGTTGGGAGAATGAAGAACAAAAGTAGCATATACAAGGAAGCATGGTGGAGTATGTTGATGGTGGCTGTGGAGCAATAAAATGCATATAGGCAAATACTGCAGGGTAGCACAGTGCTGTCTGTGTATGCAGCAGTGGGTGTAGTAACCCTGAGCAACCCTGGCTGTGAAGACTGAGTACACAGTGTAGGGGAGAGCATTGGGTGCTGCTGTGTGACATGGAAGCAAGATAGAATATTGTGGGTGCTGGCAATAGGGAGAGGACAGTGGAGCCCTGTTTTAATGTGTAGACAGACTAAGGTATCTGAAAGTTTCATTTGGCCCACAGGAAAAGTACAATTAAAGGTTTTGGACCCAGCTAGGGATTGTAATATCATCATGTAATGGCTGATGAGTGAATGTATGGCCACGGACAAGACCTCGTTCTCATTAGTGCTCCCTCAGTAGTAGCAAAGTGTGACCTGGAAAAAAGGTTTTTGGTATAAATGCTAAAATCTCTTCTAAACACAGTGTCCATCAGCAGCAGAAAGGGATAAAGCCTAGCAGCCATTTGTGCAGTCAGGGCCTCTCATCTGGCTGTTGGGTAGAAAGTACTGGCTAATGAGGTGTAAACTAACATTATCCACCTAAAGCTGGAAACAACAGGAGAAGAAAATACTACTGGCTTAAAATAATAGGCAGAATGCTTTTGCATGTGTAGAAGAATTATTTTCTTGTCATGGTCCGGGTGAATCCCTGTTTATTTACACTGGAATGACATAAAAACTTCAGAGCAGACAAGCAGATGCCCTGATGTGTGCTTTAACTTTCTCAGCTGGATAACTGAGAGTTTTGGGAGTTTTTTAATCCTGAAAAAAAGTAATTTTTCCAAATACACCCACATTGCTCATTATCATTGATCTCATCTTTATTGAAGTGTTGTACTAATTTTCCAGTGTATGTGTCTTATTTTAAGCTAGATTGCAAGGCTGTTGGGAGAAGGCCCATGGGTTCTTATGTATGTATTAGCCACTAAGCACCCAAAAATTGTGCCTGGGCTTTTCGATACTACTACAGGCCTAATGAAGAGTAATTATGATTAATGTGTAGAGTTATACAGAGAGCTACCATCTCAACCTGTGCCAGCTGTCGTAAAATCCTGCAAAAGCTGTATGAGGGCAGGAAAGGTTGAAAATTTCTTGATGTCTCCCTTTTCCAAGAGGGGAGAAAAAAAAACATAGAGGCAAATGAGGACCTGACAGCCTCGGTCCCCAGGAGAAGGATGGTGGAGGGGTGCCCAGCCGCGCTGAGATGGGCTGGGAGAGGCAGGTGATGCCAAGCAGGTGGGATCAGAAGCATGAATGCTCCTGTATTTTGGGGCAGGGGCACTGGGTTTAGGTTTAGAGGTGTGGGCTTGTCTCTGCCCCTTCCTGTGGAAGTCTGGGGAGTGTCTGGCCTCCTCCAAAACCCCTGCTCCCTCACAGCCTGTGGGCAGCCGGGCTAAAAATGCAGCTCCTCATTGCACAGCCAACACCACCTCTTATATGCGCATCTGTGTACACACACATACGCATGGCTACAGCCAGACATCCCTCAACACAGCCGCCCCACACCTCCTGCTGTCGCCAGCCCCTCTTCAGCCACCCTCTTCTCTCCTCTTTCTCCCTTCAGCGCTGCTGCTGCCTTCAGGGCCGGCGCCACAGCCATGGCAGTAGCTGTGCCCATGGCCACGGGCGGGAAGGAAGGTGCTACCACCAGGTGCCCCCACCCAAGCCCGTGGCTCTGGTGGGTGTCATTTGGTGGTGGTGAAGCAGGGGGGTGCACAGAGCCCCAGGGTGCTGGTGCTGGGGCAGGAGGGTACGGGGTTGGCTCGGCTTTGCTCACCTGCCCCTGATCCCCCAGCCTGAGTCACAGCAGTTTTATACAGAACAGCTGGGGTTTTTCTCACTCTGAGGTTTCCTGGTGTTGCTGTTGCTGGCCGGTGGGATGAGCGGTAGCACTGGTCCAAGCTGGCTGTGGGAGCGGACAAGGCAGCACCCTGGTCCGCCCATCCCAACGCTCAGCTGGGCGTGTGCAACCCAGGCTGCCACCATTGTCCTCTCCTGCCTCCTGCTACCCGTTTTAAACATGAGAGAGGACATATGTGTCTTTATTATTCTCCCTATTGGGTTTGCTTCATGTGTTCGATGAGTGGCTGTGGGGAAATGGACTGTTAGAGATCCCTTGAGCAGGCTGCTCAAAGCCTCCCAAGGCAGCAGCAAATTGAACTTTACTATTGTTTGCTGTTGCCAGATAATTACTTAATTTTGTTATCTGATGCAACACGGAGGTGGTCTGTAGTCTCCTGGCCCTTTCTAAGCCTGTTATTGAGGATTCTGAAGAGATGGCCACCCATGCAAGTCCTGAACAGCCATGAAGTGCTTAATTTCTAAGTGGCAAGGTTGCCAAGGGTTTGCACATGGCCCTTTGTTTTTTTGTATGGTGCCAGAGGTGTTTTTTAGTGTGTCTCTGTTCTACAGGGGGAGAAATACCAGTAGTTGGTCAATACATACTCACACGTAGAAGACATCAGTCCTGCCATGGAGGGAAGAAGGAGCTGCCCCTTGTTGTGTGGCACCTCCTGCAGTAACCCAAGGGCAGCCCGGCTCTGCACCAGTATGGAGCAGCTTGGAGCTTGGGTTTGCAACTGAATGCTCTTCAGGTGTGGGGGCTTCACAATTTCTCCCTGCTAGCTGGCTGGCTCCCCAGCTTGAATCTCCTGCCAGCAAGACCTGTGTAGTCCTTGCCACAAAGTTATCTGTAAGTGGCAGGGCTGTGTGCAGCTGCATAAGTACGTGCACACATAAATGCTACAGTAATATAACTAATTAATTAATATCAGCCACTGGTGGGAAAGAGAGGCTTTATCTAGAAAAGACAGCGGTACCTTTCCTAGCTATTTCCCTACAAGTAGTTACGTATATTTTTAAAAGCATGTATATATTTTAATACAGTGGGTTGCATGTCATAATGTTATGCAGTTTCATTGTATAGCTTCCATACTGGTTATTTAACTGAGAATATGCATCAAAACCTTCACAATAAACTTAAATCACTAAAAATTTTTCTGCTATAAAAGTAGTAGTTTTCTATTTCTAAGTGCTCTTTAAAATGCAAGAGCAGGTTCTCTTTTTTTTGGAAGTTGGAAGGCTAAAGGGCATTTACCTCTGACAAAGCAGAAACATTCAAGGGAAAAACTTGTATATGTTGTTATCTTACTTCTTCCCTTTCTTTCCTCATTGTTTTAACAAATAGGGTTAAGCAGCCAAAATGAGACTAGGTGGTAGAGAAATTTTTCTGCATAAACTAATAGTGCCCATGTTCAGTATGTACATACTGTACCTTTATAACACTTATCAAACAAGACTCCCGGAGCATTTGGCAGAAATCTAATCAAATACAAGGAGCTGTGTAAGATAGTGTAAAACAAATCACAGCAATTTACATGACGTGCAATTAACGTTTGGGGCCCTGTTTTTCCATCTCAGTCTCTTGATGATCAGGCAGCCCTGTCAGCTTTTAGCTTTACCCTACCATTCAACAGAACACAACAAACACTTTAAATTTTATTCTTTGAGCTCCCCCCTAAAGACTGCTTTACTGGATTCGTCTATGTTGTCATCAACTTGATATGCTTCAAAGGGTTGCTTTGGCCTTACAAGGGAACAAGTCTTTCTGGCTGACTGGGCTGGATTCTGGGACTCCTGGGAGGCAAAAATTAATGGATTTTTTTTTCTTCTTGGAACTTCTGTGGGAATGTCAGAACTGCTGAAGCTCCAGAACAGGTCTGTCAGATAATTTTGGCAAATTCTCAATGTGATAACTACAATAGAATACTGTACTGGAAAGGAAAACCCATTAGGAAAATAATAGTAACTAGTATACTTTTTTTGATCTCGTGATGCACACAATTTACCAAGAAAGTAAAATAACCTAAAAATATTAATTGGATTCATTTATGATCAAATAATAAAGCAATACAGATAAATCAAGATGGACATCAACTTGTTAAACTATAAGCTTAAACCACTGAAAGTAGTTTACCAATACAGGCAATAACATTTTGTTTCTCTAACTACCCCATAAAATGCAAAAATGGAACCTCTTCTTGCAAAAGTTGAAAGGCTATTGCTTTTTATTGTCATTTGCACAGGTTAAAATTAAAAGTGCAACTTTCTATGCACTGAAACATGCATGCACACGCTGTGCTCTGTGCGTTGTCTATTTTATGTCCAGCCTCTGGATATTGTCAGAAGAAAGAAGAACATTTTTATTTTGTGAAGGAGGTGCTCTTAAAAAGCAGCAAAACACACCAGACGGGAGAAATAGTAAGTTAACCTGCCATAAAGCAGAACATGAAAATGTGTTTCTCCTCATCTCTGCAAGAGTTAGTGAAGCAAAACTCTTTACTTCAGATAATGAAAATTCAAGAGCAAATCCCCTTGTTCACCCCTCCCCTTGTGACTGGTTTCGGAATAGAAAATTTTCTGCAATAACAATGCAGTTTTTCTTAGTCACTTTTAAATCTTTAGCTACTAGGATTCACTTTCTCTCTCTCTCTCTCTCTCTTTTTTTTTTTTTTTTTTTTTTTTTTTTTCCCCTGAAAAAGGAAGCCTAAAATTGTGCATTTCAGAAAATTAAAGCAGTGAGACCTTCATCATCCCAGGACCCCATAATCTGGGCACCAATAAACTGTTTTGAAAGACTGGCAGTGGACTCTTGCTAAAGGCAATGCATGTAGACCTATTTTACACAACAGCACTATCTGGCACCTGTCCCACAGTAGAAATGGGAAATAAATATCACAGAGAAGCAACGTTACTTTTGCCTCCAGTGGCACTTATGTTGTCTGAGGCGTCACTGCTTCAGAAGATAGTAGCGAAGGGTGGGAGAGTGCTGGGAAGGCTGATGGACAGCATGGCCAGCGGGAGTGGGGTGCCATGCACTTGCAAACTTAAAACCTGTCAACCAAAGTAGCATGGAGCTGCCTTTCAGGGAAGCTCAGAAAGGAGTGTGATAGCTGAGGGCTGGAGGGAAAGATGAAGCTGGACGATAGGGTGCTGCACTAAGCAAAGCAGATAACATATCTGGGGGATACCAGGTGTATTCCAATCAGAGTACAGCAAAGAAATGAGCAATACACATGTACCCTGGCTGGAGCTGCTGTCTGGCGTAGGAAATCTGACTGAACAGTGCAGAGTTCACTGAACCCAAGCCCTTTATGCCTGCTCAGCTTGTGGTTTAACATCCCGTGTCTTTCACCTCAGCATGTAAAGCCCTGGTCTTGCTATCGCTTCCTGAAATGCAGAGTGGGGCTCCCACTGGAGTCAACGGGGTAAATCACGGGCGTGAAGTGATGCGGCTGCAAAAGCCTTTGTGGTGCGGGCGAGGAGCGCGCCAGCCCACGGCGCCCCGGGGAGGCAGCTGCCGAGCAGCGTGGTGTGTATGCAAAGCAGCTTCTCCGGCTACGACCTGACCAGCGAAGCTGCTTGCGAGGCCTCTGGACCACTGCTGCACGCCATAGGCGCTGGGTCAGGCGCTGAAATCTGTGCCACGAAGCAGTCGTGTGCGTGCTTTGGTCTTGCCGAAGTCAAAGTGATTTAAACCTGCTCCCGGAGTTCAGCACGTGCTCCAGCACTCCTGAGCCCGGGGGGCGCGCGGTCGTTGCGCTGGCCCGGCGGCAGGGAGCTGCGTTTCTGTCCCGCAGCCGCCCTGAGACGGCAGCAGTCGAGCCAAAGGCTCACAATACTTGCGGCCGTGTTTTAGCTGTATTCGGGAGGGAGCGCCTTCCCTCCGAATGTGTGCTCGGTGTTGCACCTCTGAGCAGCAACTGCCCCAAAGCTCCCAAATTTTCAAAGAGTTACATGGGGATTTGCCCAGGCAAATCCCATTATAATCAATGGGAGCTGGGTGAATAATTACACTGCAGTTCTTTGTAAATAACGGGGAAGGTTGCCAGTTATTGCTGATTATGACGCTGACTTTTTGTAGATATAGATCCACGTGTCTATTGGGAACGGCACTTAGACCACCAGGTTATTTCACATATTGGTATAGTTTCAGTGTTTACTGTGCACATCACTTCAAAGAACCGAGGTTGATGACTTCTGGTCCACTGTGTTAGCAGTCCGTCTCCTCTCCATCTCCTGTTGTTTCCTTTCACAATCTGAGTAACAAAAAATGGTGGTGTAAATAGAACTCCAACAAAGAGGTCTGTTGAGCCTGTAATGCTCCCCTGAAAGGAGGCTGTCTCAGGGATGAATGGAACAGCCCCAGCCTAGCAGTAGCGGGGAAATAGATGACTTCGCATTGGGCAGTAGCAGCCAGCAGGGTGCATATGCCTAGTGTAGTGGCAAATAATGGTTAAGCTAGTCAGTTGAAGGGCTAAATGAGAGTACATTGTCTAACCCTGTAACCATAACTAAATTGTAACCTGAAAAGAGTTTATAAACATCTGGCTGCTAGCCCATCTCTAAAGCTTAATAGCTAAATCTGAGGTGCAGAATTTTTTAAGGTTGCAAATTATTACTTGGAATATTATCGTCTTAAGCAGATTAACTGCATTTCAGGATTGTAGAGAGTATTAAATCGCGGTCTGAGCATCTCTGCTGAGTTTTTCCGTTAAATTAGTTTTCACAACTTCAACATTTATGATTGATGCTATTTCC